GATAGTTCAAGCAACCCAGATGTTTGTGTGACCAAAAAAAGCAGAAGAATATACAGGTGTTCATGTGATCATATTTAATTGCACAAGTGATCAAGAATAATTTGCCAGAAATCTAGGTTGAACATGTCCAAATCTAGTTTTTTTATTTAATTGCTTTCTTTGATCTGCTTTAGCTTGACTGGTGTCAAAAATTTCCACTTCAATATTCTTTCTAACATCTATGCAGAAAAGATATTGCCAGTTGTAAAAAATCAGCACTTGTTGCTCTGCACCTTGCTTATTTGCAACGCTGCAGCCATGGAGGTAACGTGAAAAGCAATTGATTTCAATCAAGTTGTGTCCTAAATTGATATTGATAAGTTGTGGAATGTAAGATTTCTGTCTACTCCACTTTTCTCTTTCAGGCACTGCCTATTTTCCTTGATAGCCTAACTACAGCTTATGGTGCTATCCTGTTATCAGTGACCTTAATTCTTCTGTTTGGTGAGGTGAGAGCTTCAAATCTCTCTTCTCTTTTTCCCTGAGTAAGAATCTTCAACTCAGTTTGGGTCTTGAATTTGGAAGGGTCAAATTGGTAATTGGAATTTTAAAATGTGCTATAATATGCATCAACAGATAATTCCACAAGCAGTCTGCTCAAGATATGGATTGGCCATTGGTGCAGCCGTCTCACCATTTGTTCGAGTCCTTGTTTGGATCTGCTCTCCTGTTGCATATCCAATAAGCAAGGTCTACTTTTCTTTCAGTTCCATTACCATGAGTTTCTTCTTCTTCGGAAATTAAGTTGATTAATCTTAGAGAATGGTGTCTGACCATCTAATGTTCCTGTGGTACACAGCTCTTAGACCTTCTGTTAGGACATGGACATAAAGCTCTTTTCCGCCGAGCTGAATTGAAAACACTAGTTGATTTGCATGGTAATGAGGTATGACTATGCAGTTCTTTACGCATTTGAATGGTTATTATAAACATTGAATGGTAAATTCTGGTTTCTTTGTATATTTCTTGCTTTTGCGTTCTTCATGTTAATATCATTTTATAAATACGTGACAATTTCAGTGCTTGTTTCAGGGCTAAGTTCCTTCATTCTTGTGTATGTTGTTATCATCTTAATCATTGACTGTTCTTGAGCAGGCTGGTAAAGGTGGAGAACTCACGCATGATGAGACAACAATCATTGCTGGAGCACTTGAGCTTACTGAGAAAACAGCTAGTGTTGCAATGACTCGTATATCAGAAATTTTTTCCATTGATGTTAATGGGAAACTTGACAGGTGAAAAATTTGACTGGTATTAATTTTATGGCCTTGGCAGTCTTGTAGCTTTTCCAGTTATATTAAATCACTATCTGTTTGCTTGTAGATTTCTCATGAATTTAATTCTGGAAAAAGGGCATAGCAGAATACCAGTATACTATGAGCAACCTACAAACATTATTGGGGTTATTCTGGTACTTTACAGACCTTATGTTTCCGCATTTCTGGTGGATATTGCTGATTCCTACATGTCTTAGTTTTGGATATCAATTGGATCTACTATACTTTGGTGTGTAATGATGTCATCCAACACTGCAGAACTAGTAGGATTTAGAACTGTAGTTATAAAAGTTGGTATAGGTGGGAAGAATGAACTAGGGAATTTATTGTTTCCAAAGAGGAGAATGTTCTCAGAATAATCCAGTAATTTATTGTTTTCCTCTTTGTGAAGGGAAGGGGCTCGAGGTTTGCATATGAGGTTTGGATATTGCTCGAGGTTTGGATATGATGCCATCCAACACTGCAGAACTAGTAGGATTTAGAACTGCAGTTATAAAAGTTGGTATAGGTGGGAAGAATGAACTAGGGAATTTATTGTTTCCAAAGAGGAGAATGTTCTCAGAATAATCCAGTAATTTATTGTTTTTCTCTTTGTGGAGGGGAGGGGCTCGAGGTTTGGATATGAGGTTATTGATTATAGCCTCTTCTAGGCTAGTGTTACCTGATACAAGGAAGTTGATTTTATAAGAGGGTAGTTCTTCTAGCTTTTTCTTCACAAAGATACCTGAGTGATGTATAAAATGAAACAAGATCAACTAGGACTGTAGCTTTTTGATCCTCTCCTCCACAAGGGTTACTTGAGAGAGTGAAGTTGAATTTTATCACCATACAAGAAAATGTGATCTGGAAGTCCTTTACTTACTGGAAAGAGATACTTAAGTTTGCTCATTATGTTCTACTAGCTGTCAACTTTGTGCAACCATGTTTCGAGGAGTTTTCCATCACAAACTAAGTGGTTAGACATAACGTGTTATAGAATTTATGCATTATGCACATGTTGGTCAGTTAAATTTGATGGCTGTTAATGTTGAAAAAGAGCAATAGGTAACCAGTAATTTGCTTTTGCGGTCGAAGATTAACCAGCAATAGGTTAATGTTGAAGATTTTCCATGTTTTCAATTTTCTTCAACAAATTATACTAGCAATTAATTAGGTGTCCAAGAAGAGAAGAAAATTGTTCATGAGCCACTTTTGGGAAGTCAAGTAGAAGTAAGGTGACACACTGCCACTAACCAATGAAGCAGTTTATGTCTTACCATCTAGAGCTGGATGACTGATTGCTTCAGTGTGCCAGTAACAATGGTACTTCTGAAGCAACGGCTTTCTCCCCATGGAACACTTAGCCCCTATTTGATAACCCAATTCAGCATTTAGATTTCATGGGTTTAAATCTTAACATATTCAGACACATTTGATAACCAAACTAAACATATGAATTCATTAAGTGCTACTTTCCTAGGCAAAATTTGCTCCAAAAAGTAAGTGATAAGTTATTCATTTATCACTTAATGTGATATACACTCAACTGTATCAAATTTAGTACTTAACAATTCACTAACTTAATGGATTCAGATTTCAGATTTAAATTTGCAGACTTCAGTTTTACAAACGCACCCTTAATCTAGTAGAGCAAGTAGTCAAGATCAGTCTGTGTGTTTTTTCCTTCAGAATTGCTGTAGCTGTGTTATTCATCAGTTGCACTAATGTAATAGTGGCTGAGTATTTTGGTATTCTTTCATGCTAAATATATTCTGTTTAAATTTTAGGTCAAGAACTTGTTGACTATCCCACCAGAAGATGAGATCCCTGTGAAGAGTGTCACCATCCGTAGAATTCCAAGGTATCAGATGTGTATTTTCCTATATCTATCTGGGAGATACTTAGTGGTAATTGAAGATTTGGTTTACATTGTACCCAATTCTATTAACTGAATTTCAACCTTACAGAGTGGCCAAAAATGACATGCATATTGCTTTGTGTGTCTTTGTAATTCTGGCAATTAATATCAGACTGGTTTGGGTAAGGTGAAATGAAGGTGAAGAGTATGGGTGTCACTGGAGTTCAGAAGAGTTAGCTAAGAACTTCCTGGACTAATTAGGCAGCATGTTGGGCTAGAACTGTTCAATATAACATGAATGCCCTGAGACAATACATGAAGAATTGCTTGTGGCTGGTGTGGACAAGCATGACATGTCAACATCTGCATCTCTGAAGCAGAAGCCAAAACAAGAAGTTAACAGCACCGTGAGACCGCATTTAGGATATCACACAAGAGTTTAGGATAAGAGAAGCCAAAATTTTGATATTACTTATGTTGAAGAGTTTTTGACTGCAAAAATTTGGCTTCTCCTACAGCCTTGGATTGCAAACTTAGCTTGCTTGTTAGCTCATGGTGGGGCATGTTGAAAAGTATAGACTGCAAATTTTTGTTCTTTAGTAGTGTATGTTTGTCTTCTCTTGTAGCCTTGAATTGCAGACTCTTAGCTTGCTTGCTTAGTTTATGGTGTGGCATGTTGAAAAGTATTTCTCTTGCAAAGATTTAGGAATCTTGTAAATCAGAAATGTATCTCTTGCATATTATCCCATGTCTAATTCCTCTTTAACCCTTCGCTCGTAGGCTTGAAGTGTTTGTCTCACTCATCTTTATTCTCCACATCTTAATGGTTTAGGGTCCCAGAAACGATGCCGTTGTATGATATATTAAATGAGTTTCAGAAAGGTCATAGTCATATGGCTGCTGTTGTACGACAGAGCAACATGGTTGGGGAGCAACCTCATAATAACAGTCCTCTGGAAAGTAAGCTTTTTCTGTTATCTAGTATCTATACTTGCACATTGGGACAATTTTCTCAATGATTTCCAGTTCTTATTCCTGTGTAGATACAGTGAAGGATGTCCGCGTGGATATTGATGGCCAAAAGCCACCTCTTGAAAAGACACTAAAGACTAAAAGATCGCTGCAGAAATGGAAGAGTTTTCCTAATAATGGCAGTAATTCTTTTAAAAGCGCTCATAGGAGCAAGAAGTGGACGAAGGACATGTACTCAGACATCCTGCAAATAGATGGAAACCCACTGCCAAAGCTTCCTGAAGAAGAAGAGGCTGTTGGGATAATTACCATGGAAGATGTAATTGAAGAGCTTTTACAGGTAGAGGTGATTGGATTGCCCGTTATCTAGATTTAGGATCCACAGTTTTAACAGATGCCATCCTCAGTTGATGTTGATTTCATTTATCTGCAGGAGGAGATCTTTGATGAGACGGATCACCATTTTGAAGACTCATGACAGTGTTTCTGGTGATTTAGTCTCGATTAATACACGGAGTTAAAAAGAGTTTTTGGCTATGAAGAAATTAGTAAATACTGTATGTGACATACCAGTCATTTGACCTGTAAATTTGAGACGAAGAAGACGTTCTCAGCAATACAAAGTTTCGGATGGTCATGTCTGTAGCCTAATCAAACATTTAGGTGATAAATGTTTCTAGTAAGTTGTTATCTTCAAAATTTTTGGTGGAGTTCTGACTCTGTGTGTCTTTGACCATTCTTTTTCTGCAAGTTAAGAACATACGTAACAAGCTAGTACGAAGTAGCATACGTATTGGATTAGACGCGACGCGGGTTAGAGTATCGTCTTGAAAGACCCTTGTGTGATAGGAGCAAATGAAGAATTGAACATGGCTTGGACGGGCATCATAGCGTTGATAATTAGGAAGATTAATTGGCTTGTGACCATGTTGGCAGCAAAATTGGTGTCAAAGCAAGTTCCTCGCCTAACTAAAACAAAATACAACACTCCATGTCGAACTAAATGGAGGGCTAACAGTCTCCCGTCTTGGGTACATCAAAAGGCAAGATCTTCCAAGGCATGGAGCTGCTGAACATATGAAGCAATCTCTCCCTGCTCCCTGATTCTGGGATCCACGATGTCATTTAGTTACTGTAACATGTGAAGCAATCTCTCCCTGCTCGCTGACTCTGGGATCCACGATGCCATTTTATTCATCTCTGCTAAAACCATCATTTATAATGCACAACAAATATCTGATCACCTTCTTGATCCCTGCATATAGCTCCCTGCCCTCATAGTAGAACAAGCAGAAACATACTGAAACTGTAAGCAACAAATTTCTGAGAAACAAGGCTGAACCATAGTATTCATAATCTATATAGCCTGTTATACCATCATCCTGAATCTGCAATAAAAGTGCTTGGCAACATTAAACCTGTCTACAATGTATTCCTTAGCTTGAAAATCCTATAAATTACGAAAGTCCGAAATGCAGTGTAAAGATATAAAAGAACATTAGCTGTATGGTCTCCTTCAGCTGGTCATTAGTCTTACAACCGTACCAACCGCTCAGCCAGAAGAGGATTTTTGTTTCCCAATGGAGCACAACTTGCAAAAACCTAACCAGTTCTGCAAATTTTTTAGGGTTAAACGCAACAAATTTAACAGTCAAAACAACACGGTGAATAGTAAACAAAACCAGAATAAAATAAGAAAAGGGTGCTTTCCCCGCTTCATTTTTATTTACTCTCCTCAAAATAGAAAAGTAGATTACTTGCTTGCTGTGCAGTCTCCATTCACTTCAAATTCACTTTTCAGGCTGTCTACCATGGATTCTAGCCAAAAGCAGCAGAGAGAAACCAGAGATCGAAGGGTATGGGGAAGAGTCCCGTTCAATTTGGTCATGCCTTGCTGTTACAACTTCAATAGGCTCTCCATTTGTTTTTAAAACAAGAGCCAGGGACATCAAACAAAGCTTCGTGATTTTTTACAGCAAAATCAGAATCTCGTTTGACCAAACACGGAATACTACTTCAGATACAATACAAAGCGTCTAGGCACAAAGAATTTCAAAATCATGGAACTTTTACTTGCGGTGTTTATGCCTCTTCTCCTCCCTTCTCTTTTCTCTCTTTTTATTCTCTTTATCCTTGTGTTTTAATTTGTGCTTCTTAGAGTGCTGCTTGCTTGGGCTCGCTTTCTTTGTTTTCTTCTGCTCTAGAAAAGAATCATCATCAGAAGACTCACAGTGCCCAAGCAAAGACGGCTTTTCCGGGCCAAGAACTTTACTTTTTACTGCAACTTCTCTTTGGTACCCATCCAGGGACATTAATTGCTTGTCCCCAGTATCTTCTGGACAAGAAGAAAGGTAAGGGCCAGTTTCATCCATCCGTGAACCAACTGCACCCCTGCCTCGCTTGATCCTGTCAGGGATTAAATCTGTTCAGAAAGATCTGCACCTGCATGCGCAAACAAATGCACGCATAGACCAATAAGAAAGTAACAAAATGCTACCTTGAATGCAAAAATTCTTCAACCTCATCATCCCTCAAACCTTCATCATCCCCTTTCCTCAATGAGCACGAAGAACTTGCATCTGTGTCAGTATCCAACTGTCTTTTACTTGATCTCCCAGCTTCTGTCCTAATGCCCCCAGAGCTCCAACCACCGCTACCCTCATCTCTCATCTTTCCTCTGAGCCGATCATCTAGCTCTCTCTCTTTCTGCCTAGCTCGCCACATTTCATTCTCTTCAACAGCACGATTTGCTGAGTAAAGCACCCATGAAAAGAAACTTAGAGTTCATATATTTCCAAATCAGTACGAACAAGAAATATATCAAAACAATTCCTGTCAAATTCACATCACCAATTCACATATATCAAAACAATTCACATCACCAAAACAGGGAGGAAAAAGTTCACTCAATGACCCTACATAAAATCAAGGCAAACTTGAATTCCTGTCAAATTCAGCTTTAGTCACATTTCTTGGACAGAACTTGTTAAGTAGAGCTCAAAAACTGCAAATAAATTTCAGAATCCAATCTCAAGTCATCTGTCAACACCTAAACCATTTGGCTGAAACATAGCAAACACGCCCAGCGCCCCAAGATGTGGGTGCACAAGACACACTAAACAACTCATGCTAGTAAGACCAGTCTAGATCCAAACGACACACAGGCACAATAGACACCCCCAGAATGACACCCCAACAATGATACTAGTCAGAAAAGATTCAATTAAAGTGGTACCGGTATCATTCAAGTAGGAAGACATTTTCAAGACCATCAAACACTTAAAAAACTCCTAGTACAAAACTAAAGAACTGAAAAAGAATGCAGGATTAAAATGAAAAGCAATTGAAATGAGAGGCTAACCATGTTGTACACCAAGAACGGTTGCAGTCAAGAAGCGAGAATTTGGGCGACCCCTAACTTTGGGCTGGCGGAGATAAGCTTCCACCCCGTCTTTCTCCGCTTGCCGCCGCAACTCCGCTGCCTCTTTCAATAGAATTGCGGCGATTCTATTTTCTGTTTCCAAGTCCATCACTGAGCAGGAAAAAAGAGAAAGAAAACAAAAATTAGGTCAACAAAATCCCAACTTCGATGCAATTCGATTAAATCTATGCCGAAGATTGTTCTTTTACTCTTTAAAGTATCTAAGATTCTGGTAAAAGCGACCGCGGTGGTGGCGACGGGCGATTAAAAGGGCCGATTGGGCTGCGGTGCCCTAACTTGGTCGAGGGATGACGACGGCCAAAGCTACCTGGAATTTAGGGGCTTCCGTTGATTGATTTCTAATGGTGTCTGATTGGGGGGAGGCGTGTTTGTGTTGGGATGGGACGATGTGATCTATTGACTATTTGCCTCGTTTGGGTTTTATCTGACGGACCAAAAAAAAAAAAAAAAATGGTGCTGAATTTGGGACTCATTTGATTCCGGACTTAATAAAATCCAACTTTCTAGAAATTATTTTCTTTGTACAATATATTAAGTTCACTCCAAATTAAAATTACAAATATGAACTATTAATTCCTGTATATTCTTATTCGCCTTCTATCTATTTTCTCTTTTCTTCCCTTTGAGCGAACTTATGTATTTATTTCATCAAATTAACAAAATTAAATGTAACATCCCGAATATTAGGAGGTTGTTTGTGAAGAAAATATTAAAGTGTATTTCTTTGGGTTTGATTTAAAATCTAATTTTGTTTAAAAAGACTAGAAACCCTAATATTGTAGCCAAAAACCCTAGTTTACTTGTGACTAACCGGTTTTCCTAAATCTCTCATATTTTAATTGAAATCCTAATTTTAATTACTGGAATTGGAAAATTCCTCACGTTTTCTTAAAAATTTCTTTTATTTGAAAATTATCATTTATTAAAGCCCTACTATCCAATTATTCCATGATAAGTGCAAATGAACCTAGAAAATAGGGTTTTACGCTTCGGTTTCAATATTTGAGCAGAATTAGGGTTTCGCGATTTTTTCGCCGGATGAATTTTCGGTACTGGCCAAGGATCAATTTGATGATTAAAAGTGACTTTTAAGTGAGAAAAAATATGTGAGTAGTAGCAATGATATAAGGTTAGTAAATGGGAAGTAAAAACCCTAGTACGTGAGTTTTTAAGAAAAACGGCGCGAACCGGCGGGTCCCGCGCACTACCGATTGAACGCACCACTTGACCACAATTTTTGTTTACCAAACAAATTTATTGAACTTGAGCAAAATATCTTCTCCCTCTTAGCTCTCCTATTGGCCGAAATTTAAGGCAAAGAAAAAGCAAGGAAAGAGAAAATTTGTGTGGTTGAAATTAAACCAAGTGTTAGGCCAACTTGTGGCTACAATTAGTCCTAATCCTCTTGTCTTATTAACACCATATTAGCAGCCTTTCTTCCTCATTTCTGTACCTTCACAGCCGAGCAAGAGAGAGAGAAAAGGGAGAGCAAGAAACAACCATTTTCTTCTTGATTTACACCATCCAAGTGAGAAACAAAAATTCTAAACCGATTAAAGTGAGGGTTGTGAGTTGGGAAGCTTGAGGAACTAAGAAATTTCAAAGGGGGTGAAGTATATCTCTTCCAAGCCTTGTCTTTGAGGTAAAAGTCTGATCATGACCCTTGTTCCTTTAAATTTTGGGTTTAAGATGTTATTTAGATCATGTTGTAGCTTGATTACAAGATAAACAAGATGTTGTGATGATTCTTGGAGGTTTCCCCTTTTTATATGATGAACTAGGGCTTGAGAAATTTCTGCCCAATTTGATGTATGATGCATATATGTTGTAATTAAGTTTATAGAAGGGGTTTTGGTAGTGTTAGAAGTGAGAAATTAAGGAAAGTTGCACTAAAAACTGAAAGTTCCAGATTTCTGGAAATTCTTGCTTCCATTCTGTCCGGTTTGGTAACTGTATGTTAGAGGCTGAATTGGCCTTGGGTCAAAGCATGAAAGTTGTAGAGAATAGTGTTTTATAGGTGCCTATAAAATTTCAGCTCAATCGGAGTAACGTAGGTCATGAAAAGTCTAAAATACCCTTACTGTTTTAAATATTTCCCAGCAGTCCGTTTCATCAGTTTGTCCAATTTATCACATTTTTTCCACTAGGATCCGTACTGATTTACCTTTTTACCAAAACATGAAAGTTGTAGTACTCTGACTTGGCTTTAAAATGCCTCTAAGAACACCTGAATCGGACTTGTGTACTCTGAAATATGACCATTACAGTACAATGTGGTTTTATAGCCGACGAGTTGGATTTTGGTTCTGTAATTTGAGGATTTGACTAAATTGCATTAGAAAATGGACTAAGTGACCTTCATGAACATTGCAGCCCTATATCTTAGCTTCGAAACGGCATAGGTTGCGCCTCAATCCGACAAGCGTAGCCTCGGATATGTTATTTCCGCATTCATATGTCAAATCTGCCTTGTGCTAGATTGTATTTCTGCACTTGCTATTATTGTAATGCTTATTCTTATGATATTGTAAGCCTATGGAACGGCTTTTGACTTGAATTGCTGATATGTATGATGTTGGGTTTTGGTTGAGGAAAAATAATGAAGTCTAAATGGCTGGAAAATTAGGTAAACACAAAGGGCATGCTGCCCGAATTTACGCTCGAGGACTATATAAATACACTTGCGACTTGGGTCGAATTGATATGAGTAGTACTTGAACCATCTAGGGTACTTGAGTCTTCTTGTTTCGAAGTATATAAGTAAGGACTTGGCCGAACTTGTACCCTTGAGAAATGAAATAATGATTGCTCGAAGTATGTTTTCCCTGTACTTCAACTCGCAAGACAATTTCAAGTATAAATATTACAAAGTTTTACTGTTTAAAAAGGCGAGCAAGTGTTTCATGACTACTCTCCAAGTGAATTCCAGTTTCTTGATTTTGATTGAATGGACCGTCTAAGTTTCGAATCTTAGTCATGTTTCAAAGTTCTCAAACTGAGTTTTATCGCAGATTTGGACTCCGAACCCGGAGTATAACCTGAAAGTGATCAATAAAGGCCAAGGTTTGTAAAATCGGGATTCCACCTAGGATCGATTTTAGTTTCACAGAATCGGATCGTAGGATCGTAAGATCCCACCAAAAGCTCCTAAATTTACTAAATTAATGAAATTGAAATTCATATACCATTTTGTACATCCTAAAAAATATTAAATAAATAAGTTACTCATCAATATATAGCATTTTTTACTTACTATCTGACAAGTAATAAAAAGATGAAGAAGTTACAGCCGACAGCATTTCAAGAATGTTTTGATTGCCAATTGCCAATCACAAAAGATCAATAATATGTTTACAATTTCGAATTAATGAAAAATAGGTACGTAGTTGAAGAATGAAATTTTTAGAAAAGTAATATTAATCAAAAAAGGTATATATATGAATATAAAAAAAGGTTATGCGTGTTAGAAGTGCATATACATAATAGGTGTGAATTGAATGTGTTAACGATCAAATATTGAACATTCATTACAAAAACTTAATAATATATATACACACACACACACATATATATATATATATAAAGCTCAAATATTAAACGGGCAGAAAAAGTTCTGGCATTAGATTTCATTTCATCATTTAATTCAAGTATTTAATACTTCCTGTGGTTTCACTAATTAAAGTTGCCAAATACAAATTTCAATTATTGAGAAAAAAAAAAGAGCACCATCCAACAGAATAGAATTCCTGGTATCATATGATTTCCTACAATGTAAACGAAAAAAGCTTGAGAAAAAGTAAAATTTGTACATTTCCATCATAATTTCACACGCCATTAATTAGTCACCATTGCACTCATGTTTAAACACTTTCAAAGTAGTATGAGTATGAGAGAGGAAGATGATGATTTTGCTGCTAAGCTTTTCACCCAATGCAGAAGATGAACTTTTTCTGCAATAGCTGTCGGCTGTAGCTTGTGGGTTCCTGGTAGAAGCCGCAGCGATTTGTCTTGTGGGTTCTTGGCAAGAGCTGTAGCCGAAGCTTGAGGTGGTTTGATGGTTAAAATTAGGGATTTGATTTGGGCAGCGGAGAGGAGAAGAGAAACAACAAAGCTCTGCTTGAGGAGAAGATGAAGTAGGCCCGAAGCTTTTTGACGGAATCTTTTGATTTTGAGGCAAATTTTGTTAAAACATTGCAACTAAGGCCTGCAATTGAGTGTGAACTTACAAGCCTACCCCAAATGTTGACTTTTACTTGCAAAATGAACCTTGTATTCCACAAATTAACAAAATTTGTAGGATCGAAGTAGGATCGTAGGATCGTACGATTCTATGCGATCCTACCGATCCTATCTCGATCCTATATAGATTCAAGGAATTTGCGATTTTGAGTGCGATCCGGATCGATTTTGCCTTTCCGGATCGTATGATCGTACGATCCCACGATTCGGATCGCGATTTTAACAACCATGGTAAAGGCACTATATCTTTTGGTGAGTGCTTTCAAATACCGAATTGCACTAGATACTTGAACTTGATACGTGACCAATATGAGTACATGTTATATACGTGAATTGATAGGGCAAGAGTGTACTTTATCGCACTTGCCCTTACGTGATATACTTGTTTATTGATTGCAATTGACTTGATATACTTGTTCATGATGTGCGCACTTCCTGAAATTCCGGAAACCCTGTGGCGAGTTACTCTAGTCGAGCCGGCAAGGGCTTGGTCGATTGGCTAACGAACCCTGGGTCTCTTGTATTGTCGAGTGGAGTGATATCTCCTCGACTAATCGGTATACTCGAGTATTACCACCCGTGTTTATTGAGGATTTTGGGCCCAGTAGGGGGTGTGAATGGTGGACGGAGAGTCGTGTAAGTGGTGTTCTACTGGATTGGTTACTTACTTGAAAGTTGACGGAGTGTCAACTACTACGTGATCAAGCCTCTGGTAATGCAATGAGAATTTGGCTCCTGAGAGTCATCCGTATCCTTATACTTTGGAGTGATTATTGCTTATTGGATTATTGTTGCTTGTGAAAAACTTCTACACTCGCTCATTTTAAGATTGCTACTTGACATGTTATTGTTCACATTTATGAACTTTTCATACTCGTTACTTTGCTATATCGAAAACTTGTACTTATAAATAATGGTCAATTTGCTATTTGGAACCTCACTGGGCTTTTAGCTCACTCCACTCCATTTGTTTTCCTTTCAGGGGTACGAACGAGGTGTGAGATATGTAAAGTCTAGCATAGACTAGTTGTTTGATTTTTGACTTGTACTCGCGCTATTCCTCGAATGGAACATGTTGTACTTGGTTTGTATACGTATTGAACTAGTTTGGTGTATTGAGACTTTGTACCTCGATTTCTATCAATGTAAATTATAAGTTTGAATTGTGAATGTTATTTATGGTTC